GACTCACTATGTAGTTATGGTGACATTTTGTATGATTGCATGGACTCACTGTGTAGTTATGGTGACATTTTGTATGTTCCTTACTGCTGCTCTCTGTTTGTCCTGCGTGTCCTACAAGTGTTATAACGAAGTGTACGTAGCTGAAGTTTTTCTTAAACTTTTGCTCTTTATAGATATATGTATTTATTGTATCAGTAATTTGTTGTATATTTCTGTCCTTGGTAGTGACGGTTTGTCTAAACTAAACGTTTCTGTTTATTCATATATTAGTGGATGGTTAGCGGGTGCTCTGATATGGCTTGCTTCTTCTTTCCTATGAAATATCTATCGTTCTTATCTCCCCTTCTTCTTTTTTTATGTTTGTTACTCTCTTGTAACACCTCTAATATTCTGGCGCTCATATGACTTTATGCAGTTGCGGGCGCCGTAAAACCTCTTCTAAAACTAAAATTCATATATTTTTGTACAAGTCATTTGTTGTATATTTCCATCCTTAGTATATATACAATGTAGCGATGGATTGTCTGAAACATTTTTTGCTTATTCATATTATTATATTTATTGTACCAGTAATTTATCGTATATTTCCATCCTTGTTTCCAGACACCATCCCAGGAAGGCAGTGTATGGCGTCTTGTTTCTTCCTTCTCAAACAGTTTGAGGATGTGTTGATTTATCTGAACTCAATCAAGGTAAGCTGTTATTGCCATAAGTTACTGATGCATTGCTAGTGGATTTTTTAGTAGTTTTTTTTTTTGAGAGCACCCAAGGTGATCAGAGAAAGGAGTGGCTAGCAGCGACTATCGATGTGTGTTGTAGATCTGGCATTTCATGATAACCAATTCCCATAACTCTTAATAACTGCACGAACAGGTTTACCAATGGTGCCTGCATCTGTATATTTTGTCGTACCACTTGCTAGAAGAGGTAACTTTCTGATTATAGATTAAGTTGACCTAATTTTGTTGTCTCCCACATTTCAGAGCTATTTCTACAATGATGACAATTTCAACTTCAACTACGCCCAAGCCAAGGCCGCGGTGGGCAACTTCAAGGAGGCGGAGGAGGTAGGAGAGAAGAGAATGAAGGATAACATTTGCAGGGTTAACCCTATTTGATACAACAGATTTTTTAAAATGTATGATGGGAGAACGTTTGAGGCAACAGATTTTTTAAATGTATGTTTGTTGATGGAAGCAGCTACTGAGTAAGTACTCTCTCTTGTAATATTAGATGTGTTTTACTGAATAAGTACTCTCTCTTGTAATATTAGATGTGTTTTACTGAATAAGTACTCTCTGTTGTAATATTGGATGTGTTTCCAACTTGATTTCACAACTTAATAAAACATTGAACGTACATGTCATGTGACATTTTTAAAATTTGTGAATTGATTAGAATGGAAGTATTTAAAGTAGATGGATCATGACAGTGTTCCAAGCACGTGCAGTACAAAATCTTTGAGGTTTTCTATTTTTTTGGGTCATTGTGTTGCTTTTTTCCTCTTTGCGTCTAGATTTTCCTCCTGATTCAGAATGAGAAAACGAAAAATGACTACACATACCTCAGCTGGCTGGCTAGGACATGTAAGTGAGATGTTTCACTTAATATGGTTTGGGTTGTTTTGTTTTGTATTTCTTTGGTGCTCCATCTGCGGCCGTGTGGATCTTGTTACTCACATTTCCTCGTGTGAGAGAAATTGTTTTGATACTTTAGTGGCATGTATGCCTCTCTGTCTGCTGTGACTGAGACCTCCATCATTTCCTCAGTCTCATTCCACAACAGTCAAAGTCATTGGTTAAAGTTTTGAGAAAATGGGGCAGGGGGGGAGGGTGGGGGGGGGGGAGGTTTGTTTGCTTGTTTTTGTTTTGGTCAACAGACTAATGGAGAGGGAGAGGGGGAGGGAGAGGGAGGGGAGAAGTTTCTCAAATCAGAATCTTCACTTGAGCATTTATTATTGTTCATATAAAAACTAGATTGCTCTGGTGTTGTGTCATCCTTTAGGTGTTTTTTTCAGTGCTTCTTTTACCCAAATCTGTTCTGTTCTGTTATGTATATCTTTTCCGGCACTTACTTTCTGTAAAAAAAAACAAAAAACATGTTTAAATTGTAGGTTTTGAACACCCTAAATGACAATTCAGTTGCTGTCTATGAATTGCTGTTTACTTTTTCTCTTTCTTCCTCGTCTTTCCACATATCTTGTAAAACATTGTTTTTCCTGATGATTCTTGTCGTTTGATTGGATCGGAGTAGGCCCTACCTCTGACAATTGAATCTTCTTCCTTTTCCTTTCCCATGTCTTTCAACACACAGTGCAGCCCCTCTATGACGATTGTGTCGGGACCAGACAAAAAATCTCGTATAGGGAGTTGTCGTTACAGAGAGGCAAACAAAAATTACTACTCATATATATATAAGGAAAAAAGACACCATGTCGCTATAAAAAGGATGTCGTTGTTCCGAAGGTCGTTCTAGAGAGGCTGCACTGTCACTGTATTTTTTTCCCAACGATTCCTGTCTTTTGATGGCGCTACTCCGACAACGGATTTTATTCTGTGGCTTTTTCTTCCCCCCTCTCTCAGACATCATGAACAGAAAGGCGCGGCTAGCGTGGGAGTTGTACCTCAAGATGGAGACGTCCGGCGAGTCCTTCAGTCTGCTACAGCTCATTGCCAACGACTGCTACAAGGTAGGTCAAACTTTTTTTGTCTCAAACTATGCTTTAACACAATTCTAGTTAACACTGGTGACACTATAATGTAAAATGAACACTCTACGTACAATTTTCAACAATTCTGGTGAACAGTAAGAAAGAATTCTGTTTGCTTTGTACAATTATGAGAGTGTTGTTCTTCAAAAACTTATCAAATGTCACGTGTCATTTTTCTTTTTAGAATAATAATGATTATACAAATAAGTAATATTTGATGATAATTATAATTCCATTTATATGAGTCCAAGGCAATTATATAATACATTGAAGGTATATCTGATAATAAATTTTTTTTATGGTCAACCGAAACATTTGAACTGAAATTACTTTTGACACAAAGGTTAGGAAAGAGTTTATAAAAAATGAATGGTTTTCAGTCTGAGCATTTCAACTGTAGTATTTCGAACTATCAGATGTGTTGGCTCTATTATGCTGCCAAGTGTGTGTCACAAGATTATGTCATGCCAGATAGTTTTTATCAGCAATCTGAGAAAAGTGGGAAGAAAGAAGTCTCCTAATCAGTTGCTGAGAAATATGTTCTTAGAATTGTTATAGTTAATAACGAAAGGTTGCTTTTTTTTTACTTTTTTATTTTATATTATTTTTTTGGTGGTAATACTTGAATGAAATGGTGAATGCTGCTAATGATTTAGACTTGCATCCATGCTACAATTTTGTCCTAATTTCTACCAATCAGATGGGCCAGTTCTACTACGCTGCTAAGGCCTTCGACGTCCTGGAGCGACTGGACCCTAACCCGGAGTACTGGGAAGGGAAGAGAGGGGCGTGTGTGGGTGTGTTCCAGCTGATCATTGCCGGCAGTGAGCAGAGGTGAGTGGGTGGTTGGTGGGTGGAGGGGAGGGACTCAAAGGTGAGTGGGTGGGAGGGGAAGAGAGGGGCTTGTGTGGGCGTGTTCTAGTTCATCATTGCCCGCAGTGAGCAGAGGTGAGGGGTAGAGAGGGGCGTGTGGGGGTGTGTTCCAGCTTATTTTTGCCGGCAGTGAGCAGAGGTGAGTGGGTGGTCGGTGGGTGGAGGGGAGGGACTCGGAGGTGAGTGGGTGGGAGGGGAAGAGAGGGACGTGTATGGGCGTGTTCCAGCTCATTAATGCTGGCAGTGAGCAGAGGTGAGTGGGTGGTGGAGGATGGAGGGGAAGAGAGGAGCATGTTCCAGCTCATCATTATTGCCTGCAGCGAGTAGAGGTGAGTGGTTTGGAAGGACTTAGAGGTGAGTGGGTGGGAGGGGAAGAGAGGGGCGTGTGGGGGTGTGTTCTAGTTAGTCATTGCCGGCAGTGAGCAGAGGTGAGTGGATTGGACTCAAGGGTGAGTGGGGG